ACCTCAGCAGGGAGTGAGTCAATCACATGTACTTTTATTTCTTCAGTGAATTCATGATTCCTTACAGGTTTCTCTAAAGGCAGACATGAGGTCAGCACTCTCCAACAAGCAGCCTCATTCTACTTTGTGTGGTTTTCTCACTGAAATTTGGTAAACCGATGAGCAATGGAATGTGCGTGTGTGTGCTTGTTTGGGGGCATAATAAAGATGTGAATGGGGTCAGGGCGGAAATCTGGCCTGATGAAAAGGATCTCCTGCTCAAAACTTTTCAGGTTCCCCAATCACTTCACTCAGTGCAGTGAAAGAGTAATATTCCAGAGAGACCTGCCATCAGGAAACCAGATCAGGGAAAAAGGCAGGAAAAAAAGATGTGAGTTCTAATCCTGCCTCTGCCACTTACAGCTTTATGACGATGGGTGTTTACTTCCGTGAGCTTCAGGCACTTCACCCGTCAAACAGGCATAGGAACAGTCTCCTGACCTCATCGGAGTGTTGTGAGAATTCGGGGAGAAACTATAAGGCATTCAGCACAGCACCCTCAGGCACTACACCTGCAGAGCAAGTGATTAATAAACAGTACCCAAAATGTGATTACATAAATAGGAAAGAAAAAGTAGAAGGAACAATTTCACTGAATCTGAAACATTAACAGGAATGATCAAAGAATCTATCCAGTAGGCTGACTTCTCTAAATGAAAGAACACTGGCCAGAGGAGAAAACAAAAGCTGTGCACACTGTCCGTGGGTACAGACAGAAGCCAGCCTCTGAGGCTCAGTGTCACTGTACGAGGACAGCCACGAGAAGAACCTGTGCACAGCCAGTCGGGGCTGCATTCCCAGAGGTGGTGAAAGAGGGCTCCAAGTCTGACCTGTTGTCAACTTAGGATTTATCTTCCCCCTCTTTCCCAAAAGGATCAGAGGCAGATTCTAGTAAGAGCCACATACTCCATTGACTCATTTAAATAAGAACCTAAGAATCAGAGGAGTATAATGAGGACGAGGTCCTAGCCATGATCTGCTGCCAAGTGCAAATAAAACTTAGCTCTGGGCAGCCAGAGTTAAGGCCAGAAAACTTGCAGACTGATCATTAGGCAGAGGAAGAATCAAGATCGATCAGAAAAGGCAGATTTTCCTAGAACTAAACTTTGAAATTTTATAATCAGAATCCGATGCTCGGAATATACGTATGCTTCTGGTTCCCTCACACCTCCCAACCTCCTAACAGAAGCTTTGGCGTATTATTTTCCTCTTCACAGCTTTGCCAATTACCAGCTATCTGACCCGGAACCAAAAGCCCTCCTCTGGATCTCAGCTTCCTCGTCCTTAAAAGGGAATGGTGCTCCTGCCTATTTATGAAAGGGAATGGAGGAACATTTGCTAGCATTCACTGGGTACTGGCTAAGCATCAAAATCTTTGTGTACACTATCTCACTGAAATCTCCCAAAAACCACAGAAGGCAGGTCCTGTGAATATTTTAAAGATGACCTCCCTGAGTCTCAGAGAGGTGGGGACACCTGCCATTGTCACCCAGCTAAAAAGTAGGACAGGATGAACTCAACTGCATGTTTCTGTGGTACCAAGGCAGAAATTTAACCATGATACTTTCCCCATGTAGGTGAAGCACCTACCAGGTCCTGCGACATAGTCGGTACTCAACCTATTAGTTCCCTTCCTCACTTCCTCCTTTCTCCTAAACTACAATTATGTTATCCAGAAAATTAAGTTTACTGAAATAATATCGATATCTTATATTTATATAGTTTCTTTCCTCTAAGGAGATCATACGACTTAATCTATTTTCTCTACTAATCCCACCAAATCTCTACCTATCATTAGGTATTATTTCACTTATTTTACAAGTAAGGAACTAGAAGGCAGCAGGCTGCTAGGGTGATGTGCCCACGGTCATATGGAAGTCACTGCCAAGACCAAATAAAAACCTTCGTCCTCTTTATGTCTAAATCAACCTTTATCCTCTCATATGACACTGCCTCCATAATGAAGAACAGATCATTCATTTTTTATCTGGAAAACTACCAAATGTATAATTCAGTAAGGGGCCTCATGACCTTACCACCTTGTCAAAGGGAAGTAAGTATATAAAAAATGAGGTTTGCAGGAGCAGACGGTTTCGGTCCGTCAACTTTCTCTTAGATTACTCCCATTAACCAACATAAAATAATGTAAAATACAATGTAACAGATCCCCAAGTCTTTGGAAATTTAAGTAAAACTCACTGATCCTTCAAACTTACATACAATGCACAAGGGCAATCATTAATTCTGTAGGGCTGCAGAGGTGCACATTATGTCAACTGGATCTTTGAAAGAATAATATGATACACAACCGGGCCACTCTCAGAAGAATCGAAGTCAGCAATGAGCATTTAGCAGCATAAATTCATAGCATCCACAGAATTTTAAAGTTCCAGAGGGACGCAGCAGGCCACTGAGAATAATCTCTTCATCTGGTATACAAGGAAACTGAGGCTCAAGGAGGTTAAGTGGTTTTTCCAAGATTTCACAAACAAAAGAACAAGAACTAAAAAACAAATCTGCTGACTACTACCCATTCCAGTTGCAAGTCTTACATCTGATGTCCATGAACACACTTAGCACTTTCCAGAATTACCCATTTATAAAGACAGTGCAGGATTAAGAGCATGTACTCTAGGAACAGAAAAACTGAGGATTCGAATCCTGACTGCAACTTACTGCCCATGTGATCTTGGGCAAGTCCCTTAATTTCTTTGAATTTTAATGTTTTCATCTGTAAACTGTAGGTAATAGTAAATGCCACAGATAAGCTGTAGATTATAAAGAAGGGGCCTGGCCACAGCCTGTGACCTCCATGAAGACAAACATCAGGTTCATATATCCCCAGCCCCTAGCCCAGAGCCTGACACATGATCCATTTGTAAAAATTTGCTGAGCAAATTAATGAACTAACCAAGCAAACAGGTACTGGACTTGAATTCAAGTCTACTTGGTTCTTAAACACTAGGTTACACTGCTCCAAATTCACAGATTTCAAAGCACAGTGTTAATTCCGACTTACAGAATACCGAGAACACAATGGAATAAAAGCCATTTTCTGGCCATAAAGCAGGAAAAAAGTTTAGTGGACTCTAAGTATTGGGATTGATTCTTGTTGCTAGCATGGGTACATCATGAGGCTTTAGAATCAACAAAACCTGGGCTTAGGTCCCAGCTTTCGCATAAGCTGAGGGATCTCACCTCTCTGAGCCTAAATTTCCATAGCTGTAATAAACAGGGATTGTATGAGAAGTGAGGTAATATATGTAAAAAATACAGGATAATGTGTAGCATAAAAAGACCCTATTTCCCCTCTAATTACTTGGAGGCTTCACTCATTAATTTCACTTAGGTCTCTGCTCAAATGTCACCTCCTTTTGGGGCGCCAGGCTGGGTCAGTCAGCTAAGCGCCTGACTCTTCATCTCAGCTCAGGTCATGATCTCAGGGTTATGAGATCAAGCCCCACTTCAGGCTTCGGGCTCCATGCTCAGCATGGAGTCTGCCTGAAATTCTCTCTCTTTCCTTCTCCCTTTGCCCCCGCCCCCACGTGTGCTCTCTCTCTCGCTCTCTAAAATAAATTAAGTCCTTAAAGAAAAAAAGTCACTTCCTTTCTGAACCTTCCTATCTACAATAAAACTTCCCGATTCCCTATCCCCTCACCCCTTTTATTCTTTTTCATAGTTCTTATCATCACACAACATTACATCATGTATTTGTCTTTCTGTTTACTGTGCCTACTCAACTAGAAGGTAACCCCAGGAGGACAGCAGCTTTTTGTTGTTTATTTTGTTTACTGCTATAGCTCAGCCACCAGGAAAGTGCCTGGCATTTAGTTAGTGCTTAATAAATATGTGTTGAATGACTAAATGAATTAATTCAATGTTGATTTGGGATCTGCTATCTGTGAGGCACTGTGTAGAAGAGGGACTTAAAGATAATTAGGCGACAAGATGACAGAAGGAGAAACATCTGCCTGCTCTGGAATCTTCACAGGTTTGGAATCTTCGAAGATTCCTAACTCACCTGGGCCATCACGGTTGACTCCTGACTATTCTTATGTCTACCCTGTCCCCCCATGTTCCATTTATTAGTCCATTGCCAGAGAGACCCCCAAAAAGTCAACATCTGATCAGATCGCTCTGCTTAAACTCTTCCAGTGGTTTCCCATTTCAATTAGGGTAAAGCCCACACTCCTTACCACAGCCTGAAAAGCCTCTCTTACCACTCTCTCTGCCGCCCTCCCTGAGTTTCAGAAACACTGGCTTTCGCGTTCTCAAACATGCCAAGGTCTTGTTATTTCTTTTCTTTTTTAATTTCAAAATAAACATACATTTTTATTCACTCAAAACTCCAAGTTCTATTTATATAATTAACAATATTCTGTTCTAATGCCTAAATTTTTCAAGAAACAAGGACTAATGTAAAAAAATAACTCTTCAAGGAGCATGGGTTGGAGATGACAAGTGTTGAGGTCTATTCTGATTTGGGGCCTTTGTGCTGGCTGTTCACTCTGCCTGAAAAGCTCTTCCCTGAGGCTGGCTCTTCCTCACCATTCAGCTCAGCAAAAATCTTATCTCCTTAAAGAGTCTTCCCAGGCTGAAGCTGTCCCTCCACCATCACCCTAATCAAGTTGCTCTATTGGGTCCCAGCACCTTTTCTTTCCTCACAGCATTTCATTATCTGGAACCACTCTGCTATTTATGTGTCCTACCTTCCCAACTAGAACACACGCACAGACAAGGACTTCGCAGGTTTACTGCTGCATCTCCAGCCCCTAGTACATAGTAGGCACTCAATAAGTATTTCTGAATCAATAAACTGGATCTCAAAAGATGTTGGAGTTTGCCAGAATGAGAGTACAGGTAAGGTGTGCTACCAGCCTAACAGTATCTTGATGTGTTGGTTTCCTTCCAAGGACAACCACCCTATTCCACCAAACTATGTGAATTTTAACCGAACTTACCTGGGAATGGGTACCCGAATCAGTGCCCCTTCCACTTCTGGGTTCAGATTCATCCCACTTTCTCTTATAGCCTCGACAGCTGCAGCTGTACACTGAAAACCAGATCAAAAGGTAAACAGAATTAGAAAATAATTATTACCAGATGCAAGTCCTCTGTCGATAACTGGCAACCCATCTTGGCAGAACATGGAAACATTTAGTTCTGTTACCAGTACGATCAGGAAGTTACATTGGTGCAGAGTGCTTTGATCAAGCTGAATAGCAAACTACGTCCACTCCTGGTACCAGTGTACTGCGGGAAGGAAGAAAAGCAAAGAGAAGGAAAAAAGAAAAAGAAAACAGCTCTGCTTCTTTGAAAAGATTTCAATGGTTTGAGGCAACACAGATCAAAACCAAAATAAATCCTCAAGGGAGGGGGGCTGGTCTGTGCAAAGATTGGTGTAAAGACAGATGAAAGATTTTATACATTAAAAACTCCAGTTGACATTTTACACTCAAAATATACCAGTGCCGATTTGGAATGAGTAAATAAATTTAACTCATTCGCATCTACATTCACACCAACCACACTCACGTTTTGGACTGAGCAATGAGTCTCTGCTGGTATGTGCTCTAGGAAAGGCAGTATGGGCTTTAGGGTCAGAAAGAGCTCAGTCCAAATCCTAGCTCCACTAACCATGTGACCCGGGGCAACAATCCCGACCTCTCTGAGTCTCCATGTTGTAATCTGAGACCACAAGGCACCTAGACCTCACAGAGGATTAAATGAGATAACATGAACAATGCACTGGCTCTGTGCCTGGCACACAGTGACACCCAGGCAAGGGGCCTTATCATAGAAACTTATTATATAAAGGTAAGAATGCACAAATCCTCCAAACAAGGCTGAGTTGATGTCATCACTCAGCTGATGCACTGTTGTCCTGACATCCTTCAGGTTCTTCTCCGATACAGTCTTGCTCTCTACAGGGCTAGGTGGCACAACGTTACATTGAATTCCCAAGGTGTGGGTTACCTCACCTCAAGCAACAGTATAACTACACCTGCTATGAAATCCTAAAGGATAAAATAAAGCAGTGTGGAAGAAAGTTACTTTCGCTGGCATCACAATGTGGAATTCATGAAAAAAGTCCTCTGACATTTTCAAAGAATTTCACGTTTGACCAAAGCCAATCTACTTCACTTGGATTCACAGGGCCAATTCTTGACCTTGAGTTCCTCCCTAGACTCTGTGGTTTAATGACTGCACACCTATTTTACTTTTCTAGGTTTTGTTTTGATTTTTTGAGAGAGTGCCTAAAAAGCTTATCCATTTCATCTTAACATGACCTTAATTCTACAGGGACTTAAGGTGTTACCATAAGGTCAAAAAGACAAACCGGAAGTCCACATGCAGATGAATCATCCCTTTGGGCAGCTGTACACAGAATACAACAGCGTGACCACTGCTTAAAATAGTAAATTCTTAAAATGGTACCTCTAACCACAGACTACTGGAGCTGGAAGGGATCTCTGACATAATCAAGTACAGTTCCTTCCATATGTATACAGGGACCCTCCACACATATGCGGTCTTACCTGAGAGCCAAGAACAAGGGAGCGAAGACCTTGCCCACATACTTCCGGTTACCGGCCGAGTTAGGAGGAGACTCCGGGCACCTCAACTCTCCATCCAATGACATTACTTTGAATTTTCTTCCAGATCTATTAGCTCACTATATTCAGTAATTGAGATATGGGGAATTTGATTTTTTTTTTTAATAGCCAAAAATAGGGGTGCCTGGCTGGCTCAGTCGGTGGAGCATGCGACTCTTATCTTGGGAGTTGTAAATTAGAGCCCCACACTGGGTGCAGAGATTACTTAAAAATAAAAATCTTAAAAATAAATAAATAAATAAAGTAGCCAAAAATAATTTGGAATTGGTCTGGTGTATAAAGGGAATGGTCAAGGTAAATAAAAAAGCTGGATAAAGAAATGAAATTTTCTTCCATTTCTAAAGTTAGCAATAAAGGGAGAATCTCTACTTTGAAGTGACCTGATCTCAAGTCTCCGAATCCCCCTCTTCTGAAGCTTCTCCCTGAATGACCGAGAACTCAGCTGTCACATCCCACCACCACCAACTGCCTTTGGCCGTCTGGTCCCCAGTCTTCCCATACAACCTTCCCCCATAGGCATGGGAACACCCACCTCTGCTTCCAAGCTGGGCAGGAACTATGCCTCAATATGTATGTCTTCCCAGTATAATTACAGTGCCAGGTACATGGTAAGTGCTCAGTAAACGTTATGTTGAATAGGTAGATAATGAACTGGCTTAGATCTGTTAGAAAAACTCAACTCCTTACTTATACTTCATGTATATAACCCCCCTAAAACTTTATATTATACTTTACTTGTTCTGTCCTTTCATATGCAGAAAAATTATGAATCAAGAGAGGTTTCATTTGCAAAAAACCTATTAAAAGAGGTAGTTCTTCTAAAATATTCTAAATATGTAAATTTTCATTTGATATGGTAGGATACAGAAACTCAGGGAATCACAGTTATTTTTCCAACATGACTTCTGAACTACTCATGGCTCAGACAAAAAGGCACTTATTTCTACTGCACTTCCATCCCAGCCTGTACCCCCTTACTGAAGGGATGCTGACCAGTACGTCAGGGCAAATGGGCTTTTCTCAAACAGCAATACTGACCAACTGATTGTAGCTGCTTAGGGTACTGTGTGGAGAAAGCTCATCGACCCCATCTAGGGTCAGGCAAGAAAGAGTGCTGTGATCAATTAGCAATGTCTGCTATTGCTGTTCTTAAGCTAATCTAGGTTAAAGGATGAAAAATGATAAAAGTTTTGTAGACAGGTGAACAAGAACTTTGACAATGTGGGTCCAAGTCAACTTTGCTAGGGCCATTTTAATTACCGGCCTTCCATTCTCTTTATATCCCAATGAGTCCCTCACGTGCAAGGTCTATGAAGGCAGGAACTCTGGCTGTCTTAATCAGTGAATTCCCAACACCTCAAATAGAGCCTAATAACTCGCAGAAACTCAATAAATATTTGCTGAATTACTGTAGGAATGGTGAAAGGAACACAGGCTTTAGTGTCAAACAGACCCAGGTTCAAATCTTGAATCTATCCTTACAGTGTGAACCTGGGGAAGATATTTAACTTCTCTGAGCCTCATCTATAAAATGGAACAAATAATGCTTCATCTGAGCAAGGACCTACGTGGATCACTGAACAAAACAGGAGAAAGTAATGCCTGGCAACATAGTAGACACTCAATACACATTAGCTTTCTTCCTTCCACAAGAGCAGAAGTGGAGCCTGTAGATTTTTTTTTTTTCATTTGCCTTGTTCAAATCAAGCTGTGGTTTTGACTCCCTTCTTTCCTTTCCCATCATTAACTCTAGCTGCAGGCAAGTTTATGGAAGGCAGCAACTGTGTGTATCATTTATCAAGCAGGACACATGTTAAACAAATGCAACACAGTTTTCTGTCCTCAATACATTTGAAAAGATTATGCATGTAAATCTGCATCATGTCACTATGGCACAACACAGAAATGCTCAGGTCTGGAAAGAAAGCCAACCGCATGTGAAACAAAGAATTGCATAAACACTGAGGGGATTAGCTCAGCATTTTGAAGCTATGAACCTGGGTACTCTATGGACAGTTTCTAAACTGGAGGAAGGAAATGTTTAGTTAGAACTATTTGTTTAATATATACACCAGATGAGATAAAGGAATTCAAAAGACAATGTAACTCACACTTCCTCACTCTGTCCTTGTAAAAAACCTCTCTACTGAGATGATTATGAAGGTTTTGGGTTTTTTTCAAAACTCACAGCATTTCAACTTAAGAGAAATGGGAAAGATGCTTTGGTTGAAAAATGAAGATATATTCCAACTTCCTAAGAAAAAATTAAGCTGTTAATACTTCCTCCTGCCTCATAAGATGCTCTGGTGGCCAATCAGGTGCTTCTTCTGTGAATGCCATTTGCTATTTAATAACAGAAGTGGCTGGCTCTGAAAAGCAATCTGCCTGATGAGGTCTTCAAGCTGTGTAATTAGGAGGCTATTCCCTAAATTGGCCCGCGGTGCCCATGGGATCAGATGAACAAGGCAGAAGGCCTCAGCCATTCAGAGGGAGCCAGAAAGGGAAAGAGTTGACAATTCTCTTTTTGTCCATTTCTCTGCTTCTCAGTAACACCAAGAAAGAGTGGCCTCTTTCCACCAATCTAATGACCAGTATTCACGCACCTGAGGAAAAGTGACTGAGTGCTTCCATGTGCCAGGCACTGAGATAGGTGTTGGACACAACGTTAGATACGATTCCTACATTCCAAGCTTACAATCTAGTGGAAGTGAGATGGAAAATAAAGATGTAAATAAATGCCTAACTGTTAATGATGAGTGCAGTGAAGAAAAAGAACTGAGCTATGTAAAAGAGGTTAGTGTGGACAAATAGTTTAGATTAAGCACATTAGGGAAGGCTTCCCTGAGAAAGTGCCATTTAAGCTGTGATCCAAAATATGAGTAACAATTAGCCACACAAGAGTGTCCTAAGCAAAGGGAAGAGCATATGCAAAGGCCCTGAGAATACAAAGGGTGTGGTGTATTTGAGGAACTGAAAGGCCAATGTGCCTAGAGAGGTGTACAGGGACGACAGTGGCATGAGACTAGAGAGATTAGAGACAGGCAGGGGCCACATCATAATGCAAATCCTTCTAGGCCACAATAATTTTTTTCTTAAAGATTACGAAGCCCCTGATAAATTTAAAGCATGGGAATGACATAATCTAATATATGTTTTTGAAAGTTCACTCTGGCTTCAATATGGAAAATGGAATGGGGGAGGGGTAACAAGTCCCCCGCCCTGCAAGTGTGCCTCGAACATCAGCTACAGTAGCCCTCTGATTTGAAACAGTTTGTTCATAGCAAGGACTTTCCCTTACTCATACCTCTAATCCAGTTTGTCGAATCCGACAGGTTCTACTTTGGTCTCTGGAATAGAACTACTGAAAGAGACCATCGAAATAGGAAGGGACCTCAGATTCCCTCATCTCATATTAACAGATTAGAAAATGGAGGTCAAACAGTCAGCTGGAAGGAGAGGTGGGACCAGGTTCCAGGTTCTCCAGGACTCCCAATCCAGGTCAGTTCCTACTGGACCAACAAGTAAAAGCCCATTTATTTCCTCAACTAGACTTAAATCATAGCCTCAAGGTTGCAATGATCTAAGGTAACCCATTTTACACCTTGGAAGCTCTGTGCTCTGTGCAATTCTACAATGACCAGTCCAGTTTGAAAGGAATATGAATTCCGGAAGGTCTGCTCCAAATGGTAATGCAAAGATCACAAACTGGAGGCCCATAGGCCAAATCTGGCCCATGAACATGTTCTGTCTCGTAGTCTTTAAAAAAAAAAAAAAAAGTGAATCAGTTATCAACATTTAACAAAGGTCTTATATAAAAATTTGAGTTACTGGCTTCATCTACAAATAAAAACCTTAATATCTGATAACACCGATGACCAGGTCTACATTTCTGCCTGGCAATGATCAGCAGGAGATGGGCAGAGGCTACTCCCTTCAGACAAGGCACAGGTTCTCCTGCTTACTCCAGCCCCTTCCATCTGGCTAAGCGCCAATCACTGCATCGCCACTATTGTTTTTCTTAGATGGAGCCTGTTTCAGTATTCAAATTACTTGCCTGGCCTTTTAGTGTTTGAGTTTAACAGAAAAGGAATTTAGGAAGAGGAAGAGAGCATTTCCTTAAATCCTGAAGTTCCCTTTATTGTGCCTTCTCTCTTGTCTCATCTCAAGCTGGAGGGAATACTTCCTCCTGACTTGACCCAGCCTCCTCCATTCCAAAAGAGACCATGAAGAAGAATCCTTTTTGGCAAAGCCACCTCACCTCTGGGAAGCTGGCCATATTCACCAAAATCAGCTGTGGCGACTTCATAGAGATCTGGCCAATCTGGTTTAAAGCAAGCTTCCCATCAGCAGTTACCACAGTGATATGATCAAGGGATCCTAGAAGAAAAGTCACAGGGTGTTAGAATTCAGAAGGACTTTAACAGCCCCACATCTAAGTCCCTACCTAATTCAGATTCAGCGAATATTCGGGGATCCCTTATCAACGTGGCAAGACCGTTCAAGGGGCTTTTGTAGGAGCAGCAGTGTCACATGATGGAAAGGGCTCGCAAATGTTGACAGAATGAGGACTTCCTTACCATCCACGAGGGTGGCCAACCATAAATGGCTCATTCTGAGACACAAAGAGAAAGGTGGGGAGGAGTCCTTTCAGACAAATTGGGTGTTGTCCCAGCAAACTGCTGTTAGAATAATGCAGTACTTTTATGGCCCAAAGATCCGATTTGAAGTATTCAACCAGTTTCAATGTCATCGCAAGAAAGGAAGTTGCTGATACCACGGGCTTCAATCTGGAAGAGTCCAGGATGTATAATGGTAAAAGTCTCCATGATTCTGAAGACCAATGATGTGGGTTCAAATACCAACTCTTCCATCTCCTGATTATTTGACCCTGGGCAGATCCCCTCAACCTTTCGGCACCTGTTTCCTGAACTCTAAATGGGGCATAAAAATTGTACTTCTCTCATAGTGTTGTTAATGAGGATTCAGTGAAAGAGTTTCTGGAAAGCACCTGTAACTGTGTCCTGGCATATACAAGTGCCCAATAAATGTTAAATTATTTCTTGACTTTTTCCTAAGTTTTAACCAAACCAACCTACTTCCAATTTCTCTAATACAGTCTTCTTCTTGCCTCAGGACTCTGAATATATATATTTTTCTTTCTTTTGAGAATGTCCTTCTCTGTTCAGGTAACTCGGGCTCATTCTTTAACACTCAGCTATAACAGTATCCAATCTCAGAAATCTTAACTGACCTTCTGGGCCGGATTACAAACCCCCTTATGAGCTCCCAAGGACCATATGCACTCTTCTATAATAATCAGTACTTGCTGAACATTTCCTATGAGCGAGACATTGTGCTGAATGCTTTCTATAATTTGGTTGCTTTCATTATCACAGTAACACTATGAAATAGTACCACTATTTTTTGAGATGAGAAAACTGAGGACCAAACAGTAACTTGCTCAAGATCACAACAGCTCTTAATAATGGAGCCTAGTTTGGCTAACTCTAAAGGCATGGTCTTCACCACTCTGCTTTGCTATATGGTTTTGTCCATGTTGGTTTACTTGTCTATCCCTTCACATTAGGCTTGAGGCTCTTGGAAAGTGGGAACAATGCCTTTTCTCTATCTACAGCACCTATTCATCAGCACAGCATTAAGTGCTCAATAATGTTTTGATGAATACATGAGTGTGTAGATGGGCAAATGAATGGAAGAGGGCAAGAACAAACACGTGGATAAATCTGTATCTAGACAACTATCAAAAGCAACCAACTACCTTGGAGATAGAAATTGCTGGTAGACGGAGGTGTGAAAGGAAAAGTGCCTGCTGGCTCAGATAGTAATGAAAGAGGATATGGAAGAATCTGGCACAGAAAAGACTGGCTGAGTTCAGTTTCACCCAGTCTCTTCATGGCCCCAAGTTCTATGGAGAACGTTACACAAACATAACCTTGAAGAGAAAGAGGCAAAGAGGAAATACCAACGGGAGGCCTTTTGAAAATGGATCTTGACTCAGCCTTCCTGATTTGCCATAAAGATCCTGTGCCACAGAAGTTGCAACATGGGCTTTTCAGTATGCAATTGTGGCGTTTCCCGTTCCCTAAATCCATAGCGACATAATGCATCAAATCCTTTTCCCTCAATCTGTCCCCAGCGAGAATCTCCCTCAGCCTCATTCCTGCCCCTCATTTTCTCAGAGGTTAACATTTAACAAATTACACTCCCAACCTCTTTCCAGGCCCATCATCTTTTTAAGTTCAACAAGAGTAGAGCTTGCTGGCTAATTTTAAGTATCACATTTCTCCCTGAGCTCCTCTCAAACTGCTCTCTGGTTTCGGCTGCAGAATGTTAACAGGCCAGAAAGCACAGGGGAGACAAAGCACTTTATCAGTTTCATACCTAAAATAATAAGCAAGTTTAAAATAAACAGTTGGGAGAGATTGAATGGCACGCTCTACTGTCAGCAAAGGCAGAAATGCCCCAGTCCAAAGGTTGACAAATGACGGAATGGTCTTCTGATTTCACATAGGATCTCGTCTCCCTGAACTCAGTATGTTTCTGCTGGTGTTTATAAATGGAGCTGTATATTTTTCACTTGGTTTTCTTAAGAACAAGCTCACAAAACATTTTCTAGTTTCCTTAGGAATGATCCCAACCAAGATGTGAGTAGGAGCAGCCCAAGCTCCCATAGATACCTTCGGAGGGGGTCCCAGGCTTGACTCTAGGATGATGACAATTTCCAAAAGGCCAATTTAACAGCAATTGGATTTTTCCTGCCTGCCTGCACCATTAGCTGACAACTCACTTCTTCCATCACATCTGCAAACAGTTCTCCTAGACAGTTCTGACATTTCCCACTTAGAAAAGCCACTTTCAGGAAGTTATTAACCCAAACGGAATCTTCCTGGTCAAGCTCAGGGGTACAGAAATGCCTCAGACGGATAGGTTTGCAGCCACTTGGTTCCCAGTGAGGGATAAGAATGGCCAAATAGGACAAACTGCGAAAATCAGACAAAGATGTCGGTTACTGTGAGATTATATACCTAGAAGTGCTATATAGTATAATCTTAATAAAACCCCCGTTTTTTGAGAATGCAATTCCGTGACAGCAAAGACCATGCCTATTTTTTGTTCACCACTGTGTACCAGCACAATACTTAGTTCATAGTAGACAAGTATTTGCTAAATGGATGAATAAAGTAGTGTTAACGATGAGCCAGGCACTGTGCTCCAACCATTCCGTATGTTACCTCATTTATTTTAATACCTACCCCAAAGCTATGAAGTGGGAATTTAGACAAGGAAACTGAGGACCAGAAAAGTAAAGTAACTGCCCATGGTCACCAGTTAGTAAGTAATAAAACCGGGACTGAAACCCAGCTCTGCCAAAACCATGATCTTTCCACTATGCCCCTCTCCAAAACATTGGTTCAGCCACTAACCTGGTGAGGTCCTTATATTGACAGTCTTATTGAAATTATCTTTCAGTACTTCCATCACAGACTTCATTTCTTCATCCACCTCTTCCAAGCTGATTATATCCTCAACCAAGGCAGCATTAAGATTCACTCTGGTTTGGATTTGTCCTTTCCCTTTGGCTAGGAAGTCAACAATCAGTGAATAAAAGAACAGCAGCATACACAGAGACAATAAACAACTAGTGAAGAAGTGCCACTAAGTGCAGAGAAAAATGCCAAGTGCTAAAAATTATACATTATTAGCGCCCTAAAAGAGAGCCTATATTGACTGTCCACTAGGTACCCAAGCACTGTGCTAATCACTTTCTGAGATACTAGTGAAGGCACAAGCTTTATAATGAAACACCTCAGGTGAAAATCCTGGCTATGATGCACACCAGTTTTATGACTTTGGGCAAGTTACTCTACTTTGCAGAGTATCAGGTTCCTTGCCTGTAAAATAGGGATAATACCTATATCGCCAGGTTGCTATGATACAAATTAAGTAATTCAAATACCTAAAAGAGCACTATCCATATGGCAGGCACTCCATAAATGAATTCCTTATTATTTAGAAAAATAAACAGAAGATGAGAGAGGTAAAATGACTTGCCTAATGTCACAAGGTCATGAAATAGTAAAGCCAAGATTTGGTCCCAGATCTGCCTAATTTTTAAACCCATGAACTTTCCATTAGATTGTCTCCAAAAAATCTAACTGGAGACACAGGAAATACATTAATTCATTTTAAAATGAATACTAAGACAGGATATGCAAAGTATCTGATAGCTGGGACGGACAAAACGAACAACAGTAGTTAACAAACATTAAAAACCACCAGTGGGGGCGCCTGGGTGGCTCAGTTGGTTAAGCAACTGCCTTCGGCTCAGGTCATGATCCTGGAGTCCCGGAATCGAGTCCCACGTCGGGCTTCCTGCTCGGCGGGGAGTCTGCTTCTCCCTCTGACCCTCTTCCCTCTCGTGCTCTCTATCTCTCATTCTCTCTCTCAAATAAATAAATAAAATCTTAAAAAAATAAATTAAAAAAATAAAAATAAATAAAAAAAAAATAAAAACCACCAGTGGTAATAACAATGGTTGTATTTCAGAAAATCAACAGCAATGGGGGCTGAAAAAAATTTGATTTTATGCCTAAGCCACCATGGTGATTTTTCATGTATGTTCTATATATATAGATCACTTCCATGAGTAAAACAAATATTCCTGCCTTTCTTCATGGAAGGTGAGTGAAGGGAAAAAAGAGTAAAAATATTAAGTAATACTATCCTACACTTGTTAACTACTCAACAAATATTTATTGAGATTCATTCATAACAAATTTTATTGAACATCTACAGTGAGCTAAATCCTGTGATATTTGCAGAGCACATTATAATTTGCAATGCAATTTAAAGTACATTCTTCTATTAGAGAGTCAGAGCAGCTCCCCGAGGTAGGAAGAACAGAGATTATTATTGTCCCCTTGTACAGGAAGATGAGATGAGAAATTTATAGCACAAATCATTTAAATGTTTTCCCCCAAGTATCAACCAGTAAGCAGCAGAGTGATTTTTTAAAAACATGTATTTGCTTGTGTCCCCACCATGCTTGAAACCTTATTGCTTTTAATAGAACAATGCCTTAGAATTTTCAAAACTGATGAAAGACGAGAATCTTCAGATTCAGAAATACAGGTTCCAAAGAGGATAATAAAAGTAAATTCATACCTAGACATCCTGTGAGTGAAGAAAACCAAGGACAAAGAGATACTGAAAACAGCCCAAGATAAAAGACAAGTGATCCACAAAGGATCAAAATTCAGAATAACAGCATACTTTCAAAGAACAACAGGAGATAGAAACAATGGAAATAGTATCTGCAACTCTCAATTTTTTTAAACTAAGAATGCATGTTAAAAATTTTAAGTTATGCCTATCAGTATCAGGATGGATAATATGAACGAAATAGTATACAGCCATGAGAAAGAAAGATCTACAACTACACAGAAGAAAATGATTCTTACAAACATAATGTTGAGCAAAGAGGCTAGACACCAGAATACAGAGTGTGCAGTACAAGAGCCAGATACAAGAATGTACAGTACAAGAGACAAAACTAACCCATGCCATTAGAAGTCAGAATAACCAGTTACCTGCAAGGAGTAGAAGAAGGTGGGAAGTTACTAGAAGGGAGCATAAAGGGGACTTCTGACATGCTGAAAATGTTCTGATTCTTGATCTGGGTGCTGATTACGCAACGGTTTTCAGTTTGTGAAAATTATCAAGCTGTTTCCTATGACAGCTGCACTTTTCTATAGGTGCTTTTTAATTTCTATAAAAAGTTAAAAACAGAAATTAAGGGTAACTACTAAAACAATAAGAAATAAGATGTATAACTTCCAAATCAGCAGTGATGAAAAAAGAGAAATAAAGAAATCTGATTAATTCAATAGAAAGGAGGGGGAAAAAAAGAAACAAAGAAAACTATGATAAAGTACAAAATAAAATGATACACAAATACTCAGTAATCACAAGAAATATAAACAGACCAAGAAGATCATTTAAAAGTTAGAAATTCTCAGTAAGAACTTTTTAAGTCTAGTCATATACAATATACAAGAGGTTTAACAAAAAAATTAGATTACACAAAGTTTAATGTATAGGAATGGAAAAATTATAACCCCAGCAAATATTAAACAAAAGAACGCTGTTGCAATTACATTAATACCTAGAAATAGATTTTAAGACAAAATGCATTATTAGAAAAAATGAAGACCATTTCATAATGACAGTAAAAACAATTCAAAGAAAAGATATTACAATTCTGAGCTTAAGTATACCCCATAACATAGCCTCAAAATTAACAGAATGAAAAGGAGAAACTGACGAGTCAATAATCATACAAGGACATCCAAAATACTTTCTTCATAACTGATAAATTGAGCAAATAAAAAAATAAATAGAAAATTTGATCAACAAAATTAGCCAACTCAATCTAATGGTCATACATACAATCCTGTACCCAGCAATAAAATATGCATTCTTCTCAAGCACACTTGAACCTTTATACAAAATAACCATGTTCTAACCCACAAAGCAAATCTCAATAAATATCAAAGAATCTATATCATATAGGACACATTCTCTGATCACAGTGGGATTAAGCTAATTCTCCAAAAAGCGTTATGTTTGAAAAATTTAAAACACTTCCAAATAACTCACGGACTACAGAAACACATAATGAAAATTTAAAATATTTAGAAAAAGGCAATAAAAATACTGTATATCTAAAACTTCTAGGACGCACTCGAAGTTGTATTTAGATAGAAGTTTATAGCTGTACCTGCTTATAAGAAAAGAACAAAGGTTGAAAATTAATGAACTGTCCAGTTCAAAGGATAGAAAAAGGACATGGAAGAAAATAAAAAATAAGGGCAGAAATCAATAAAACTAAGAAAAGAGAAATCACCAAAATTAAAACCTCTTTTTAATAGGCCTATGAAACCAACAAACTTCAAAAGGAAAGTAGACAAATCAATATTAAGAAAGAAAAGGAGGAGACAATTATCAAAACATTACAGATTTTAATAATCTTAAGAGACTATTATGGACAACTTTATGCCAACAACTTTGAAAACTTAGAAATAATGAAAAATTTCCAAAAACATATAATTTACTAAAACTAACTCAAGAAAAAGAGAAAATCTAATAAGCAGCATCATAACCATTAAAGAAATTGAACCTATGATTTAAAGTCTGTCCACATACCAGGTCCAGATGATTTCACAGGCACATTCTACCAATCATGTAAAGAACCAATTAATCCTGATCTTATCAGACCATCCCACTGAGAGACAGACTGAGACAGAGATGAATTCCCCAACTCATATTATGAGACTGATACAGTCTTGATACCAAAACCGGACAAGGATAATGCTAGAAAGTTATGCCCATCAATATCAGAGAGTTACATTAAGGCTAATCTCACGTAAAAGTATAGACTCAAAAACCCTAAATTAATATTAGCAAACCAAATCCAATGACATACGTATAGATTACGTATCAGCAATGTACAAATTATGTATCAAAAGCAAATAGGGCTCATACCAAAAATGCAAAAGCGGTTTAACACCAGAAAAAGCTATTGATGTTGAGTCACCCCATTAACAGATTAAAAAATTTAAAAAAACAGATGATCAACTCAATAAATGCAGTAAGAGCATTTGATAAAAACTTAATACTCATTCAAATAAAAGATTCTTAACAAAATAGGGACAGAAGATATTTGCTTATAAGAGACTACTGAAAAAATAAGCAGACGTAATTCTTGATGTTAACATATGAGAAGTGTTCCTGATAGAGTCTGAAATAATAATAAGGATGCCTACTATCATCAGTCATGTTTATTCAATTATATTCAAGTTCTTAGTCTATGCAGTTGCGGGGGAGGGAGAAAGGGAAGGAGAGAAAGAAAAGGTATATGGATTAGAAAGGGAAAAACAAAGCTATCATTATTTACAAATACTATAACTACCTATACAAACAATAGATTTAATAAAAGATTTCAAGGTTGCAAAACCAAGATCGGCGTATAATAACCAGAAGTGTTCCTATTCACCAGCAACCAAACAGAACACATAATCTTTAAAAAGATATGAATTTAAAACAACAAATCTTCCATAAAATAATGTAACAGATATACTCATGACCTTAAGTTAGGGAAATTTTTCTCAAATAGAAAAAAAAAAAACAACACCTTTCATAAAGGAAAAGACTGATAAATTGGACTATATTAAAATTAAAAACTTCTGTTCATCAAAAAACACCATTAAAAGAGTGAAAAGGCAAGTATATCAGCAATACGTATGCATGACAGAAGTCTTATCTTTAGAATATGTTAAAACTCCTACAAACCAATTTTTTTAATGGGCAAAAGACTGGAAAGAGGATAAACAAAGAGCCAATAAACAAACGTGAAGGGGCTCACCATCATTATCAAGAAATTACAAATTAAAATCACAACAAGATATAACTGCACACCCATCAGAATGGCTAGAAATAAAAAGACTGACTATATACCAAGTGTTCATGAGTATGTGGAGCAAAGAGAAAGCTAAAACATTTTTGGTAGGAGTGGACACTGGCAAGACCATTTTGGAGAACTGTATGTAGAGAAACTGAATATACGCATCCTCGAAGACTCAGAGATTCCCCCCTCTTGGTATAGGTACACCAACAGAAAGGTATTCATATGGGCACAAAAATCCATGTACAGGCATGTTCATAGTAGCATTATTTATTTTAGCTCAAAACTGGAAGCAACCCAAATGCCCATCAACTACAGAAAGCATACACAAGTTGTGGTATAAGCCTTCACCAGGATACCATAAAGAAAGAAAAATGCACAAACAACTACTACATGCAACAGCATGGACAAATCTCACCAAGAGATTGTTACCAAAGGAAGCCAGACACAAAAGAAGCCATACTGAGTTCAAAAAGGGCAAATCTAATCTACAGTGCTAAAGTCAATAAAATGGGTTATCTTTTGAAGGGTGACAACTGAAAGGGACATGCGGAAAGCTTCCAGAGTACGAGTGATGTTCTATATCTTGATGTGGGTGATGGTTACAAGGCTGTGTTCACTTGATGAGAATTCTCTGAACTGTAACCACTTGCAAGTTAAGTATGTACTTTCCTGCATATATGTTATAACCAAAAAAATTACTTTAAAAATATACGTATGTGATCAAAATGATGATATCCCAGAAATAATCCTGATTAAAGAAATGTGTAAAATCTTTATGGAGAAAAACTCACAGTATGATTATAAATTTCATATACAAGAGCAAATGGCCAGAAAGAAGAAAATGAAAAAGTGTGTGCGTATGATGAAGACAAAGATTTGTACCACCAGATTCAAGATATTACGACAGTGATTCAGGAATTTAGAAAGGAATTTAGTGTAGGGAGAGATAAGTAATTTAACAAAATTAAGAGCTCAGAGATAAAATACATAAAAAGAAACTTGACATGCTACAGAGGAGTAAAGAATGAGCTAATCAATACACGATATTGACAGAACTTATTACCCATCATAAAAAAGAAACTAGAAAACTAGATTCCCAACCTCACAACATATTCAGGAATAAATTCCATATGGATTAAAAACCCATGAAAAGTAAAAATCTTTAAAATATTCAGAAAAAAATATAGAAGAATAGCTTTAAGACCTTGGATAGGTAAGGATTTGTTAAATAAGACATAAAAAGTACAAACGATAAAGAAAAGGACTAAAAAATATGACCATATTAAAACTTATGCTCAACAAAAGATATTGGTAAGTAAAAAACAAAGCAGACAGCTATAACACATAAAATCAACAGAGGACTCTCATTCCTAACACAGAAAGAATCCAATAAACCTAAAAGAAAATGTCAAGCCACCAACTTTTTAAAGAGGCAATCAAAAAAGATAAAAGCTAAATAGCCAATTAAAGTTGAAAAGATGCTGCTTACCCGCTGTAGCTAATGTGTGTGACGCTGTGTGCATCAAGAGCCCCCTGTTTCCAGTTCTGCCACTAACTAGATGTGATCATGGACAAACATCTTACAAAGGCACCCCGGCTTCCTCATTTGTAAATGGTGAGATCTGTGCTTCACCAGATAATTACAAAAATTTCTTCATTGGATAATTCTAATTCTTTCACTGGATAAGGATCAATTTATTAAATACGTGAATTTAAAAAAAGTTAGTGCAACATACAGATTAAAAGTTGTTGCCATTATCACTATTAACAGAATGTAAGTCTTCTAACTAAGTATTAATGCTCTTTCAGCAACTTGTTCATTTTCCTCTTAATAGAAAAGGGAAGGTCCATACGAAACGATAAAAGGAAAGCCAATGGAAAAAATACTCAGCAGCATCTTTCCAGCACCACCTTTGGGAATGGACACCCTGACCCACCACTGCAAAAAGCAGGTGTGCTTGACAATTTTCTGTCACTCCTTCATTCATTCAACATTTTTTGATACATACTACGTGTCAGGCCCTCTTAGGTACTAAACAAGATACAGGCCCTATCCTCATAAAGTCCAGCATAGAAGACATATAACAAACAATAATTCTTACAATTAATTGATTAATTAATGAGTGCTGTGCTAAGGACGTCAAATGTAAAATAACCGTGCGTATGAGTGCATGTAACAAGGGACCTGACCCAGTCTAAGAGGTCAGAGAGGGCTTCCATGAGGAAACGCCATTTAAGCTAAGACCTGCGGTATATCAAAGTCTCATTCTTGGATGACACAAACCATTAAGATCATCCATCTAAATCCACGGCTCTAATACCTCCTCACCCAACAAACTTCTGGTTTTAATTTTACTTCCAACATAGCTCTTGCTATAAGGAGAAAACATGTTGATCTCTGCCACAAATAGTCTGATTTGCTTGGCACTTACATCTCTAAATCTAAAACTAAAAGAAGGAACTCAGACATTTTCTAAGAAATGGTAACATGGGAGGCAGCATGGTAATGAGCAAATAGACCCTCAGTTCTACCACTGTCTCTGTCACTGTGGTATCTTTTAAGCTGATCAAATGAACTGTCTGAGACACCCTCTCCTCATTCTTCCACAAGAGGAGATATTCAGTACCTCTCCGAGATCCCTTCCAGCTATGACAGTTCAAGGGCTAAATGTAAGAAAGTGGTGAGCAGGTCATGTATCTCTACCTTTGGCTTTCTTGGTAGCAAAATGACGGACTGGTACAGCTAGAGAGGCCATGGATTGCCCACGGTCATTTTGTCTTCCACTCACTGTCTTCAGCATCCCTTCCGAAACAGGTCTGGTCCAGGCTGCAAGGGAGTTACAAAAGACAGGGTGGACCAAGCGGAAGCACCTTAAACCCAAGGCCATGACTGAAGACAATCCTTGTGAACATTCACTAAAAAGAGTAAGACAGAAAGGAGATCTAAGTAAAACAGACTGTATTACAACTTCAGAAAATAATTTGTTATTTGTTAAATAATTATGAAGCAACCCCTGCAAACTGAGCTATGTGCTAGGCAATTTAAATATATCATCTCCTCCCAACAGCCATCCAAGGAAATATGATTAGCCCCATATTACAGGATGAAGAGATTGAGGCTTGCAGAGATTTAAGTAACTTGCCCACAGTCTGTAAGACTCGATATCTCCAGGCTCTTTCTACTGTACCAAATGCCTCTTAGAGTACACAGGGAACACAGAGTAAGTAAACGTGCAGCAGCCTAAATCTTTAATGATGCTAATTAAATCCTTACGTGAGAAAAGGCAAAAAATCTTGATAAAGTTATACTATAAAGAGGGAGGGCAGAGCACTGAAAGAGGACTTTAAACTAAATAAAAAAAAAATAATTTCAACAGGCATAAAATGACTGGAAAATTCACACGACAGCATTTAATTAAAATTTTCTTTGGTTCCTTATGCACTGATTACCAATTAGAATGCACTTTACTTTAATGTGAGTCTGAAGCACGGTTGAGGTTTGAGGTCTTCCATGTTACAGAACTGAAGCTCTGGAAAATGCCACCCTCCTCTGTGTTAACACAAGTTACACATTATACATCTAAGGTTCTGACCATGAAAAGATGCTAGCATCTAGCTAATGTACACCTAGCATCTGCCAGGAATCTGGCTATCACTCAGTTAAAACCAAGAACAATGCTCATCAAATACCTGGAAGCTACTACTATCTTTGAAAATCTGTCCTACACCTCATTAAAAAAAAAAAGAAAAAAGAAAAGAAAATCCTATCCTAAAATGTTGATGCAGTAGAACTAAATCAGAGCATGTACTCTGTAGCCAGATGGACTCCAACCCCGGCTCCACCACTGACTAAATGCCCCGACCTGACTCTGCACCTCGATTTCCTCAACTGTAAAATGGGGATAATTATAATTATTTCTTAGGGTGGGGAAGAATAAATGAGTTTATGCAGGTAAAATAACTGGCACAGTGCCCAGCGGACAGCAGGAGCCCCAAAACGGGTATCTGTTCGTAACTATTGCCTTTCCTTTCAAAAAGACTTTCACGCGAGGGTCAGACACAATAAAGAAATCTTGCATGTCATTATACAAGATAGCCTAGTCAGTCAAATCTGGATGTACATTTCTTTTTTTTAAATTTTTTATTTAAATCCCAGTTAGTCACAATACACCATACATACACCATACACCATATTTCGTGATTCCACACTTCTGTCCATCACCCAGTACTCGTCATGACTAGTGCCCTCCTTCATCCCCATCACCTACTTAACACCCAGCTGCTTTTATTTTATTTATTTATTTTTTTTGGACGTACATTTCAACTTTGGACAGTTCACTCCACCTATCTGGGCATCACTTTCCTCATCTGCAAAATGAGAAAAATAATCCTGATCTTAAAATGAAATAGTAAGTGTATGGAAAACACCTAGCACAGTGCCAGGAATACAGTATTTGCTTATTAAATGCTATCATTATCATTATTTCTTAAAAGAAAAGCAAATAAGCAAAGGCAAATTATTTCTCCTGACAGAATTTTTTTCTCTCCTGATGGGATTTTTAATAGCAAGGGATGCTAGATGTCATGGATTAGTATATGAAGTTAGTAACAGCAAATCTGGATTAAAAAATGAAGAAGTATCTTTTCTTCTTCAATTATTATCAATAGCTGCTATTAACTGAAGTCAGGCCCAGGCTGCTTGCTTTACCTGTACATATTTCACTTAATCCTCCCAATAATGCCACAAAGAAAGTATAGTAATCTCCATTTTACAGATGTAGAAACTGAGGTTCAAAGAGACTGTCACTGTCCAAGGGCATGGAACTAATAGCTCTGCCCTATTTCGGCAAAACTGTTCGCAAAATTTGGCTCTGAGTGAGGTTTCTATATCTAGATTTTTCTAATATAGCCAATGCCTAACCCACACTTATATCCAAATATGGCTGTATAATAATGTGTTTTTAATTTATTTTTTTTAATCTACAGGGTCTCAATTTGGCTGCTCCATTTAAGACAGGTTTCCTGGTGTTCCTGTTGCAGGTCATAATACCAATCCACAAAGCAACAGGAAATCAAAATGGGTTAGAAATAAACAACCTTTGACAGAAAATGCGGTACCCAGAAGCAGACCCAGTACATGTGAACCGGAAGACAACTCTATAAATAAACCACATTGCTGAAATGTTTTAGGCACAGATTTTAATTGCACAGAAGTCAGGAAATTTCAAAGTGGAAGTTCAATAAAGGCAGTCCCTTGGGCCCTTTACCTTAAGGACATGCATATTAACAGTTCAGCACAGAAGAATTAAAGTCGAGGAAAGGAACTGTCACAGGAGCCCAATCCAACAAAATTAACCTATACTCAGAGAAATATGTGTCAGGAAGTACCTGGGCTTTGGACACGGTGTTGAACTGGAATCCCGCACTTATTAACTCTGTGACCTTGGGTAGATCATTTCGCCTCTCTGAGCTGGTTTGCACCCCATTTTTACCATGGTGATATTAATGAGGCTTTAAAAAGATAATTATAACAATAAAAAATGAAACAATTGCCAACACTTACAGAGTTACAACTGTGTGCCAGAAACAATTCTAAGTGCTACACTGCATACATTAACTTATTTGAACCTCATGATATCACTATGAAATAAGTACTATCAGTACACCCATTCTATGGATGAAGAAATAAAGGCACAGATAAATAATTTGCCCAAGATTAGAATTCAGGCAGTCTAGCTCCAGAGTCTGTGCTCTTAACCACTATACTATACTATTACGTACCTGAAACCACTCAGAGCAATTACGGACATTATTGTTGAAACCGTTGAAGTAATTCTTAAAACTATTTGAAGCACATACTGTTTTTCCAAAGTTAAGGTTCTCAAAACTTGACTTTGTTTTCCACAGGTGTATTTTAATTTTAAAAAAGAACTAGATAAGGAACACAAAGCCCATTGTCCACTGTCCCAGCAACCTCTCCCAATTCAGCTGTATTATCAGCTTATGATATGTACATTTTTAATACTTTCACATGTATTATCTGATAATCAGATTTGTGATTACCACCCACATTTTACAAATAAGCACACTCATTTTTCATTTCCTGGAATATTCCTTCTGCTCCTAGGTCTTCAAACATACTGAAGTTGAATCTGCCTGGAATGATCTTCCCCCACCTCTTTAATGAACTACCGCCCATTCTTCTTTCAGATTTCAACTTAAGCATCACTTTCTCAGAGGATGCCTTCGCTGGCCATCTCCTCCAACGCAACTAGATCAAATGTCCTGTAGTTTTTGTTAACACCCTACACTTCTTCATAGTGCTTAAACAATATTAGCTAATATTTGCATAGTTATTTGATCATTGCCTAATTCCCTCCACAAGACTATAACCATTGCAAGGACTGATCTATGGTTGTCTTGTTCACTGCCATACCTCCAGTACCCAGCACAGTCCCTAAACACAGAAGGCACTGAATACAAGTGATGAATACATGAATGAAAGTCTAGAAAGAGCAGGTCCTTGACCAAGGTCACAATTATGTTTCAAGATTTGGAATCTAAGCCTCAAACTGAAGGTCCTGGGATCTACTTACCAACAGTGCTTCAATGATCTCTTGGTCTGCTAGATTTTCCACATACAGATAGTAGGGTACGCTCTCTAAATTCAGTGCCAAAGGTGTTTATAGCAACTGACTACATAGAATCTGACTATTCATAGTATCATGACTATAGTATAGAATCATGTCCCTGACATAGCCAAAGGAGGATAAGACACTTTAACAGGTGGAGAAAGAGCTTTTGCCTAAGAGCTAGAAGGTATGGATCCCAATATTCCTAGTTCATCACTCCCTGCCAACCATCCTCTATAGATTCATAACCACCTGTACTCAAAAAGCATTTGTGCCAGCTCTAGGACTGACATATGACTTGTATCAAATTTCTCCCACCTAGGTTGTGTTTCCTCAACTGTAAAATGAAAGGGTAGTGCAATGGAGTGTAGTGAAAGGAAAACGGAACCAAACTTAGAGAAGACCTGGGAAAGAGCCCTGGTTCTAGCACTTCCTAGATAAGTGACCTCAGCTAGGTCGAACTCTCTGGACCTCAGTCTCCTCTGTAAAATGTAGATGACAATACTATTTGTCAGGGTTACCAGGACGATCCAATGAGATAAGGGCTGCAGAAACACTTTGTAACTAGATAACAGCTACAGAAATGACAACTGTTCGCCAAGGGAAGACACAGAGTAATGGCTAAAAGTTGAAGCTTTGTAATTTAAGTTCCATCACTTACTGGCCGCATGACCCTGGTAGTTTTTTCTCTGAGCTTCCATTTCTTCATCATGGGGGGGAGGGTAATAATACCTACTTCCATGGGAAAACTAAATGTCCCTGCCAAATAGTGGGCTACTAAGTAGTGGCTACTATTGAGTAAGCTCCCTTCCCCTCCGCCATCCTCGAAGTTCCTAGCTGAGGAGACAAGCCCCGCCCCCACCCCCATGAAACTCTGGGAAGCGACAGGTCCCGCCCCCAGCCTTAAAGGTCAAGCCGGACTCGAATGGAACCGGTCGGGGGACGGCGATCGGACTCCCTAAGGTCCCCCAGAAATCTTTGAATAGAAGTCTCTGACACCGGGACCCAGCGCGCGCCTCGAGGCCGTGCAGAGGCCACTCACCAGCTATCGCCCAAGTTACTAGGAAAAGACCTACGCCACCGCGGTGACGGCGGCGGCGCGGGCGCCATGACGTCATGGGGCGGCGTGGCGGCGCAGGCGTAGCGCGTCACCGTCCGCCTGGCAGGAGGCGGCGTTGAATCGGACGCGTTTGGAGGGCTGTCGGGCCGCGGAGTCGGGATCTGCTTCTGGGGCATGAGCCGAGGGGACGACGCCGAGGCCACGAGGTGAGTCCGGCCGCGATGCGCCCCTGCACCCCAGCGCGGGCCCCGCGAGTGGCTCGCAGAGCAGGCTGCCCTAGCAGGACGGCTTCTCAGGCCCCGCCCCGGATTGTCCCACCGCTAGCCCGGAAATAACAATCCGAGAAATGACCCATCGCATCTGGGAATTCGCGGCCAGGAATAGGGAAGCCGGGGTTCCAGGCTTGACCCTGCCGTTACCGTTAGCTTTAGGAACAAGTGGCTTTGCTTCTCTGGACTTTAGTTTCCCCGTATGATTATTCCCGCCTTCCAGGTTGTTGCATGTCAGCTGCGAGGATAGATAACAGCGTTTTGTGAACTCTCTTAATCTAGGGGGTTGTCGCCATTGCAGACCTAAAAGATTTTGATAGTCGCATGCCATCTTGATCTCATTACACTTCACCGTTCCTCAAAAGGCCCTGGGCTGAGCTGTCACAGGTACTGTCTCATTTAAGCTTCTTAACGACCCATGAGTTAGGGATAATCGGACCCATTCTAGAAAGGAAGAAGAAACAGAGGCTCCGAGTGGAGCCTCATTCATTCATTCAGTAAATATCGAGCACCAGCCATGAGCCAGGCAGTGTGCTAAGTGCTAGGGATAGAACTATGATCAGGACAGGCAAGGCCCTGCCCTGTAGAAGCTTACATTCTAGTGAGGGAGACAGAATATGGAATAGGAAATAATATTGAATTAGCATTATCTGGAAAGGAAAGGTGTCTTTGATAGAGTCTAACAAGGAGCTCAACTCTTAGGGAAAGCTTTTCTGAGAAGACACTTATTAAATCATGCAATAACTGGGTACAAAAGCCAGGATTTGAATATAGATCTTTTGGCCCCGTATCCTGTACTCTTGCCACCAAAATATGATACCCTCCTGTGATATTAAGTAGTTGTTGGTATTGCTGTTTTCAGACATGAGAAAATCAGGAGGTCCTGTCATTGAAGCCTCATCTCAAATGTTATGTCCTTTAGAGAGGCCTTCCTTCTCCACTAATTCTGAAGTAGTCCAACCCCTGTCTCCCTGTCAAATCACCTTGTTTAATTGTGTTTGCAGCTGTCAGTAGTTACTTACATATTGCTTATTTATTTAACTTTTGTTTTTTTCCCCCTGCCCCTCTTCCAAATACAAGCATCCCTAGTGGAGACCTTGTTTGTTCACTGCTCCGTCCCCAGTATCTAGACAATACCTAGAAATAGAAGCTCAGTTTTTTTTTGTTTTGTTTAATGAATGAATGATCTGTAGGAAAATAGGAGGAAAGGAAAGCAGGGAGAAGACAAAATGTTTCTCCTCCTCTGTTTCCACTCCTGAGATTCTGTTTCTGTGTGTTTCACCTTTCCCTCAGGAGGTAAGAGCAAGATCTATAGCTTATTCATTTCTCTATTTTCAGCACATAGCCCTGGGTTTAGCAGTTAGCAGTTGCTTATCATGCATTGCTGCACAGATTGAACATGTGAGTGAGAAAGGAAGAAGAATACCCTCACATGTGGGGCTAGATAAACATGTTCACCAAACGCGTAAGGCCCACCGTGTGCCAGACTTCATAGTCTCTACTGAGATGAATAAGAGGTAATGACAGTGTTCAGTATATGTCACCCGTTGTGTTTGAGACAGTTCCTGCAGCACTGACCTCTGAGGCACATCTGCTTACATGATACACATGGTTCCTATGTGTATTCTAGTTCTGAAGTCTGACACAGCCTGACTCTTTTCCCAGCTCTTTTTTTCTTTCTCTACCACATTATACATTTGTTAAAGCTTTATTTTGCATCTGTCGTCTCATTTTTGGCCCTCTCAGCAACCTTAAGTTACAAGCAGGGCAAGGTTTGATATGTAGAGATGAGGAAACAAGCTTAGAGAGAAGTGACTTCCAGTGGAAATTCCAAAATTTGAAACCAGGTCTTGACACCCAGGTTTTTTCTCTTGCCCCTGTTGTCTCCATCATAACCCTCATCCTCCCTTTTTGGTTGTGAAAGGAGTCATTTCAGGATGGAAGACTAGTAATAATTTAAACTAACTTCAATTGAAAGCTTCTTAGGTGCGATGCATCGTTCTTAATGCTTTGGGTGTGTTAACTCAGTAAATCCACACAGCTTTTATGAGGTGTTACTCCATTTCAGAGATGAGGAAACTGAGGTACAGAATGGCAGAGTAACTTGAGCAAGGTTACGCAGCTAGTAAACAGTGCAACTGGAATGACTAAGGAGAAATTAGTCTCTTCTTCTGAGTCTCTCCCAAAATATTAAACATGATACTAGTGAACATTTATCGATTGCTTGGTGCTGTTAGATGCAGTGTTTAATGATTTTTCATGCACTATCTCTAATCTTTGCAACAGCCCTATAAGATAAGAACTGTTCTCTCCATTCATAGTAGGAGGAAACGGAGGCTAGAATGTTCAGATTATTCACCAAGTCACACAACCGGCTTTCAAACCGAGTTCTAACTCCAAAATCTACGGTCTTCAATTTCCTAGATTGCCTCTTTCATGAGGAAGACATGTGTGCTGCTCTTTCCCACCCATCTCCTTCAGTGCCATTAAGACTCTTCTTTCTGGTGATTTCCAAGACTTGTTTAGGGTGACAGTTTTTAAACTGGAGTATCATGTAGTAATAGAGCCTTTGGCCTCCTGCCCAGTCTGCCTCTGGCTTCAGAAGAGGAAAACTGTAGTTTCTGCACACAGAACCACGCCCCTTTCACCTTAAATGGAAGCTTTTGCACTCTGGCTGCCGGAGGAGCTGTCCCAAGGGAACTGGTGCTGGGACCCTGGTTGTGGAATGACTGAGGCCTTTGAAGAACTGGCCAGAGCTTGCCCTCCTTGAATAAATGTTTGTTGAATTTGAAGCCTCATGTTCACACAGTGTTGCTCCTCTCCTGCCTGAATGTTCACGTTTCCTTTAGTTTTTCATAGAGATTGATGGAAGCAGAAACCAAAACTCTTCCCCTGGAGAACGCATCCATCCTTTCAGAGGGTTCCCTGCAGGAAGGGCACCGGTTATGGATTGGCAACCTGGACCCCAAGATCACAGAGTAAGTCTAAGTCCTCTTAAGTCATTACCTACAACACTGGGATGTTTGCACTGATAACGTTCAGAAGAATTTTCAAGAGATGCAGGATATATTTTGGCCCTTCTATTTATGTTTTAATTATCTTTGAAGGGTATGTGCTTTTGTTGCTAACCTGTTATGTTGACATTTTTCTCACGTTTGAACTCTTCTGCAAGAACATAGGCTTGGGTATTGTTTAAAACATATACCTCTTTTTTCCTATTTGCCAAAGATGGTTTCCTGTTTTCACCAATTTGAGTCGTGTACCTAGTGACACAGGCATTATTTTCTAGAATCAGCCCACGACATACTTTCGTTCCTCAAAATGAGGGAACAAGCAGAAGTCTCAGTACCTTCACAAACAGGCAGAGGGTACCACTTGATTGTAATTCATGTGAGGCAGCCATGGAACCATAGAAGGTCACAGCTGGAAGGCATCTTAGAGATCACATCAGTCCCTTCGGTTTTCATTCAGTCGTGAAATGATGTGAGTGCCTGTTGTGTGCCAAGTGCCCATTTGTGCCTAGTGCCATGCTAAGCAGTGCTCAGACTTTTTAAATCTGAGGAACCTGTCTTAAAGTAACCTGTTTATAAAATAAAGCTCAGAGCTGCTCTGATGGGGGGGGGCGGGGGGAGAGGTCTGCCCAAAGCCTTTTGGCAACTGCCACCCTTTCTTCGGTGGTAAGTTATAGGACTCCATGGAGCACACTTGAAAAGCTCTGATATGATCCAGCTCCCTTTTCCTACAGTAAAGGAAACTGGGGCCTAAGACATGGAAGGACCTTGCTCAGGGTAACAAAACTAATTAAATTGTTCTGACTCCCCGTTCTTTGTACTGTGGCCATTATAGTGGAAAGCAGTTTCTTAGCAGAGAGAATTAAGAGGTTTTTCCTTCTCCCAGTTGCTCAGTAGGTACAGGCTACGGTTGGTGGCAGGATGGTTAAGGAATGAGTAGATCGGGCTCTGTGGGATCAATGCTTAAACCAAGCATAAAATACGCCATCAGTCCTAAAAGTTACTCCCTTTGGAATAGTGTTAAGGGCAGGGTGAGAGGAGACAAGAGAATGCACTTATTTGGATCAAGGATGAGAAGAGGTGTGTATAGGATTGGGATTGGGAGAAAGAAGGGGCTGTGAACTAACGGATCAGGATCATAACAGAAAGTTTAGTTCTTTAATCCTACTCAAGTTTGAGATCAGCTAAATATAGATAACTTTGGCCCCTCTAGGAATTATGATGCCATTTAAGATATGTTGTCCCCCATGTTATGTTATCTTGGTCACTGGGGCCCTGGAATGAACTGTGCATTTCTTTTGGTTCTCTTTATGGCTCGTGGCTTTGAGGATGAATGTGTGAATCAGCCAAACCTCTCAGTCATGTCTGTTGATCAGAGAAGCTGTTTCCATCATCTAAAACCCAAGCTGTGAGGGGGTGCTCCCAAGAGTGGTTTCCATTCCCACCTCTGCTTATGTGCATGGAAATCTGGAACATGGAAACACTGTTCATTGTTTTGGCTGCAATTCACTGTAATGAGACTTGTTCTAATTGTGTCCTGCTGCTTGATAGGAAGATTCAAATAGGCATCTGCCCCCTCAGTTTATGTCATAAGTTGGAGTATATGAATGTTTTTTTCAGTTAGAACATTAACAGGAACATTGAAAGAAAACTTTCCTACTCGTATCTCTGCCCTTTTTATATCAGGCCAAAGGTGGACCTCACGTACTGAACTGCAGATCAGGGCTTTGCAGGGTCTGCCTGTGGCTTCCCTACCAATGGGTCACCTGCGATTTTGTTTACTCTTTTTCCTCTCTGGATTCCTTATGTTAAAACATGTTCTCTCCCAAACAAAGTGATTTATTAAATAGTAGTAAATTTCTTTTTAAAGATACAGCCCCCAATCATAGCTATGGTTAGCATGGTATGCTTAGTATTATCTCATTTAATTTACTTAATTACAGTAAAGAAACTAACGTGTTAGTAAGGTAGGTCTTATGGAAATATGTGATTTCCTTCCAAGTTTTTGAATTACATAAACTTGTGGATC